AGAGAACTGTTTAAAAGGGATATGTGATTAGGTATTATTCATGACAGGAGTCCAGAACAAAGGATGCATAGTACAGTGAACTTGGGGGGGGAGGATTATATAACAATGAATTTTACTTTTCAAAGAGAAAAACGAACTGTCGGGGGAGAGATGGGCAGGGAGAAAAGCGCAACACTGAATGAATAGAAATCCAAAGTCTCTGTATACTTTCATTAAAATTAACAATAAAAATAAAGAAAAATAAATTTTTTTTAAAAAGTGTTCCAATCTCTCCACAAGCTCCCCAGCATTTGTTATTTGCTGACCTGTTGAACTTTGCTATTGTCGCTGGGGCTAATCTAGTTTTTTAAAGTATTTGCTAAACATACAGATTCAATAAATATGGTGAAAGGATATAAAACAAACAAACAAATAAAAAAACTTTAAGTAAAAGTAAAGAGACTATTCAGGTTTAACATTTTTAAAATAAGTAAAACCAAAAAAACCCTATAAATTAATCCTTATATAATAAGTTTACCTTATAGTTAAATATTACTCAGTTCTTCTAGTCTGATTATTTTCTACATATTTATGATGATAACTATAATCTTTTGGGGACTAAAACTATCTTATTTTTAACATCCCTTTAAGAAAACAAAGCAGCTCTGGTGGTGCTGTGGGTTAAGCACTGCTAGTCAAAATGTTAGTTCAAACCAGAAAGATCATGGCCTTTGAAATCCTGTAGGGCAGTTCTACTCTGTCCCAGGGAGCTCTGGGGACTGACTGAGTGGGAAGGAGTTGCACTGCCAAGTCACAGGCAGGAAGCTCAAATCCACAGCTGCTCCATGGAAGAGATGGGCACTCTCCTCTAGTGTGATTTACTGCCTCTGAAAACCCATTGGATGGTCAGCTATGAGTTGGTTCCGGGTCCATGGTACACAACAACAACAAAATCAACTGTCATAGGGTCGCTATGCATCCTATGCAGCTCAAAAGCAGTAGTATATAAAAAAAAAAACCCCACACAAATGTCTCTGAAATATACGTAAGGGCAAGACTGATTAATTTTTCAAAATTACTTTCCTATACACTGCTTTGTTTTTTGCTACATGGCAGGGTGGGCTATGCTAATGACGTGAACAGCACCTTTTGGGTGGGAACATAGTCTCTTATGAGAGGGTTGATTGATTTTGCATCCTGCCAGGCTTAAACGGAACAAGTTCAGTGGCAGAAAATGGGATCTCTACCAGAAAGAAAGAAATGAAGTGGAGAGCTGTGTGTTGAGATCGCTGTGCCTGTCAGAACAGGACTTACACAATAGTACAGCTGCAGATAAGCCCAGGAACTAGAGACCTACCTGATACAAAGCTGACCAGGAACTGCTGTCTATGGAGCAACAGTCCCACCTTCACCCAAACTTACTGGAGGAAGAAGAGGTGGCATAGCTGAGTAGATACTGTATGCAGAAGTGGCAGGACAAAGAGAGCTTTTCAATACTGGTTGCAGTGGCGAAGCTGATGGTCAAAGGGCTTGCAAACAAACCTGAAAAGCTGTCCTAAATAAACCTGAATAATAAATTAACTTCTTGAATAAGCCCCACAACCATGAGTATTTTAAGTGGCCAGTGCATTCTCAATTATTCAGAAAGTATGCATTCTGATTCAATGGTACATGGTACACAAACATAAAAAGTATGCATTCTAGAGTCATTTATTCAATTTCATTGTTATTGAGTCAGAACCAATTCATAGCTGACCCTCCACTGGGTTTCCAAGGCTTTCCAGGTTTCCACAGCACAGGAAAAGAATGCCCACCTTTCTTCCCAAAGAACAGCTGGTGGATTTGAATCGTCTGAGGGGTGTCCACTGGATTAGCAGCACAACTCCCTATGGCTTTGAGGTCTGTGCTTCCCTTTTACTGGCAGTGTTGTCCTGTATCACTGAGTTGAACTGACTCACAGTTGAACCTCCAGCTAATTTTCAGAGAAAAAAAAACACACTAGAGCTCCCTCCCCTTTTATTGTTGTTGTTATACTCCCTCAGTACATGACTACTGTTACGTGTCTTCAGGTTGGAACTAATACACAGCTGAAGCTCCAGTAGGTTTTCAGAGGCAGTAAATTGCACAGGAGGAAAATGCCTGTTTTTATCCCTCAGAGAAGCTGGTGGATTTGAACTGTATGACTTAGGATTGGCCACACAACTTCCTACCACTAAGCCACAAAATCAAGAGAAACTGCCGAACTTTGGGGCTTGCTATTGCTGCAGAGTAAAACTCCACAGAATAAGGACATGGTTTTGTTCATCTTCATCTTTTCTAAGCCTCACATTGTCTGGTTCAATAGATATTTGATGAATAAAATGTGTTTAAGGGGAAACCTACTCCCAGTCAGAATGCTCAAAGAAGACAGATCTACCTCATCCTTGAGTTAACAATCACCTTAAGGACTAATACAACCTGGCAAGTTTTGAAAACACCGGAAAAAAAAAAATGAAATTTAGCCATTCCAAGTGGAGCTTGTTATTTCCAAGATTGCTCCAATTATATTTTAAATGTTTGAGACAAGAACTTCTAGAAAGCAGATCTTCACTGCTATGTGATTTGGTGGCCTAGTGTCAAGAAGATGCACCGCCAACCCAAAGGCACAGGGTTCAATGCCAACAGCTGCTCAACAGAAGAAAAGACGGGCAGTGTCCTGTGTGATTTACAGCCTTTGAAAACCTGCTGGAGGGTCAGCTATGGGCTGGTTCCAACTTGATGGCAAGAAACAACAACATGCAATCTTAGATATTTAAACTTTTAATATAGATACTTAAACTTTTTAAAATAAACTTTTTGTACAAACCTCAGGTTCTTTGTTTATAAAAATGAGAAAAAAAAACTGCCACAATTAAAAAACTACAGGCATCTCTGGGTTATGAACTACTCACAACCAGTAGTTACAAACCAGTCCAGTAAAACCTAATGTCTTAAAACTGATGGGTCATAATTAACAAATGTGTGCTTTGTGAAGTGAACCAAACATTATTACTAATGCACTATTAAAGATGTATTAGTGGCCTAGACTCATTTTAATTTTTAATGCCTAAAAAGGTTAACTGTATTACTACTATCCACTGAGACAAAACATTAGACCAAAAGTGACCTGATTTACATACAAAATAAATTTAAAGAGTCCTGGGAATGGAACTTGCCCAATCCAGACACTGCCTGTATGCTGGCCTTCAATAAACATTAATTTTCCTTCCTTTTTCTACTTTAATAAATTATTTTTCAAGTTTGTAAAGTCTGAAATCTTCCAGGGGAGGAGGGAAGTGACAGTATTACTGGGTACAGGCTTTATACAGCCATTAAGACTAGATGAGCCTCCACAACTAGTGCTCTGTGGATATCCTTAAGCTTTAAACTATTCCCTGAAGTCTACTTTAAAATAAATGGTGGTTTAATCCAATTAGGAAAAAAAAAGATGAGCATTGTCATTTTTTAAGGAATTATGTAAGAAACCTTTCTATATTTTATAACTTTTATAGCTATAATTGACATCAGTTTAGAATATTAACAGAGAAATAATTTTTAAAAAGATCTTGATAATTTTTTCTAATACAATTTAGTCAAACAGAATTTTTTTCATTATTTAAGGATAGTTTAACCTTTAAAAATCTACATAATTCACTTCATCAAAAGATTTCAATAAGTATAACCATATGAATACGTCACAGCTTTAGAAGAATCTTGGGAAATTAGTGCATATCAATGTGGAGGGGGGAAATCTTCATCTTAAAAATAAAAGGAAACGTTATTAAAAAAAAAAAGATCTAGAGAGAAGTAGTACCACAACATGAAGAATGTGACTGATGTTATACAACTGTATGTTTAAAAAACACTGAATTGGTGTGCTCTGTTTTATAAAGTTTTACTAAAAAAAACCAAAAATTTCTAATGGTGATGGTGTGATGGTGGTGTGTATGTGTGTGTACACCGTCAAATCAGATCTGACTGGTACAGGAAGAGATTGCCCCTTCTTCTCCAGCAGAGCTTCTGGTGGATTCAAACCACATACTTCTGGGATTGCAGTTCAACTTCTTGCCACTAGACCATCAGAGCTCCTAATGGTGATGTTCTTAAATAAAATATATTTAATGTGACACCAGCATTATGAAGCAAATTTTGTCATTAGATCAAATTTGTTAATAGCTAACATTTAGGAAGCTCTATTATCCTACCACCTTCACTATATGCTGTGATCCAAATTTTCTCTTTTATATTTTACTAGACAGAAGTATGAAGAGAACATCTAGCACTGCACTTGTAAAACGGAATAAATTCTTTGCAAAACGTGTGAAAATTTGCTGTTACCATAATTTTTCCTAGGGTGGCCAGCTACTATTAGCATAAATGGGAAATTTTAACTAAGTCTCAATATTAGAAGAATCTTCTCCAGTTAATTATCATAAACAGAAAGTCTTACCGAATAAGACAATCAACTTTCCCAAAAATGGATTGTATAAGTGTGCAATTTAATTTACCCTTGAGTTATTGCAATTAATTCTAAACCTATAAGCAATAAATTATTTGATTCATTAAAGAAAGTAACTTTGCATTTTAGAGTTAGTAACTGCAGAATTAGGACAATTCTTACTCTGAATCATTAAAAAATGTCAGATACTTCCCACAATTAAGGGCTTATCTCTGGTCCATATGCTCCAAGGGACAATTCTCTTAACATTTTAGTGACTGACCTCTACTGCCATATGAAATGCTCAAAAGTATTTGAAGAACATACACATGAAAATTCACAATATTTGTATCTGAAATAAGCAAATGAAAGCAAAAAATATTTTTCTTCAATTTCACCACAGCTCAGAGTTTATCAGTTTATCGATTCTGGGGATTGTCAGTATGTGTGGAGAACACAAGAAAGAAACCTTCAAGCCTAAGAAAACAGTAACTCTGGTCCAGAGTATCATCTATGTATTTCTACGAATCATAGGAAAGGCAGCGGGGGAAAAATTACTACTTACACACAAAAGTCTCTACATGTGTGCACAAGTCACCACACTTAGGACAGCGCAGCTGGTTTCCACCTTTCCCAGAATTCCCAGAGCCTGATTTCTTACTGCTCCCATCACTTAGTGATTTCTAAGGTTTGTGGGAGAAGAGGGGAAAAAAAAGTCAATTACTATTTTCAGGAAACTACTATATACATAACTTAAATGTAAGCTCTATAGCTTATATAGTTTTTAGCATTTCTAGAATAGAACTGTATAGCATCAATACTCACTTGTGTCAAAAACCATCTTCACTTATCAACTATCTCATTACCAACATTTTTAATTCACAATTGTAAAAAATCTACTATCCAACTATTTTGCACACTAATGACATATATCTAACAAATGCTGAGGTCTGAGGCAAGAGTAACAATATGTATGATGATTAAACTTATGTATCAATTTGCTGGATCATAATTCTCACTGTTTCGCAGTTATGTAATAATGTAGTCATCTTCCATTTTGTAACGTAACATGGTCATTCTCTATTTTTGAGTAACACTGATTATCACATAATGATCTGGTCTTTGGAATCAAACCACACTGACAAGTGAGGGGTGAGTGTATTACCACAAAAATCAAATCAGTGCTGGGAAACACATATTTCTGTATTCCTTTTTTAAATGCTATGAGCCAGCAAATATAATAAATAGCTTTTTTAAAAATAATATACTCTAAGAAAAAAAAATTAGAAAATGCAGGTAGAAAACTACATTTTCATGAAGATGAACCAATAAATATAATAATCATGGTAAGTAGAAACAACATTTTTGGTTTAGCTTTTCTCACCATTAAAACGGATAATTTCACTTACTTTAGAGGACAAGTGGTAGGTTTAAATATAGAAATGAAAATAACTCTCATATACTATTAGCTCAAATGTTAGTTGAATTTACTATATAACAGCCCAATAGTAATACCACAAGTTCAAGATTTTGAGGCAGAGAATGAAGCAGGTTTAGACCATAATGAATTATAAAAGGTATGTGAACAGGAAATGGTAACAATCTCTAACTCCATGACATTAACTAACTATATGAATTATTTCATGAAGCTCCTTTACTACTCTGCAAGTTACATTTTAAAATACTTTTTAGTAAGTAAGAAGTCTTAATAGCATATTTTGTTAAATGTTAGGCTACTAACTTAACAGTCAGTGGTTCAAATTCCTCAGCCACTCCAAGAGAAAAAGTTGAGTGAGGCAGTCTTCTGCTTCTAAAGATTTACAGCCTCAGAAACCAGATGGTGGCCGCCAGGGATCAGAATCAATTTAACAGCAGAGGGTGGGCTTACTAAGTATAATGCTTGCAAAGTATTTTATAGTTTAAATCGAAATACAAAATGAAATTATTTCAATTCTTCAGGTAATTTTATATATTTCTTATTTCCTACAGAAAACATTAAGTCAAGAGAATGCAACAGATTATTATTGTTATACTTAATTGATTAAAAAAGGGAATCTATGTATAAATGTGCTAATAACGATAGAGCAATTTCCAGTTACCTTATTTCCATCTCCAGAACCATCTTTACTGATGCCATCTTTTGAGGCAAAGTATGTTGGTGTTTCTGTAAAGGTTCGAAAAGGAGCTCTTCGCAGAATCTGAGTTTCAAAGGTTCCAAGTCTTCCTAACACTGGTATATTAATGCGCCCACATGAAATACCTAAAAATAGAATAAAATCTATTAGTGTACACATCAAATATATACATCTCAGTAAATCTCATGTAAATAAAAAATCCTTGAGCACAAAACACCCTAACCATTCCAAAACAAAACTCCATCATATCTCCAAAATCTACCCATCCTCTTTTGTTGTCAAGTCAAATAACTCATAGGTGACACTGCAGTGCATTTTCAGAGGCTGTAAATCACCTGGGTAGAGACTGCACATTTTTCTCCCAAGGAGCAGCTGGTGAAAAGGCCTGCCTTTCCATTGCCTGTGATACACCTTAAGTTCTAGTCTTCAGAGCTGCCTTACAAAATGGTAGAGAAAATAGTGATACTGTCAAAGACAATGCCTTCTCAATTGAAGGCCAGACAGAAGTTACCTGAATGGAGATGTTTCTTTCAAAGCCTGTTCTTTAGAAATGAGGCTAGGCCACGATAACAGTATGTACCTCTTTCTAACTCTGAGAAATAAGAGAGTTCAAAGTCGGCCTCACCTGCAGGGGAAAAGTCCATTTATATCATATAGAATTCTTGTATTATTTCTACCAGTAACTAATACTGACTCCTTGCATATTTTTGTTAGTTATATAGAGGCAATTCCTACAATTATGAAAGCAAACTTCAAATGTCCTCTAAAAAGTGATTTCTGTCAAGGCAAACAAACATTTTAATGAAGTATTTCAATTTCACTGAGTAAAATGTAATTCATGTAACCACCATCCTGCTTTAATAAATTTTTTTTCTTCTGTCCTATTTGACATTAACATTCTTAAAAAGATTTTGGGCCTCCTTATGCTTGTCACAGGCTGTGTTCTTGCAATGACTGTATAGAAAGAGGAGGTAGCATAAAATACCCCATATACACCTCAACCCAGGCCTTGTGCTTGGTTTGTATTGTGAATGGGATAACATGGCACTGAGGAGGGATTTAAATGCTGACTGTCCCATTGTCAATAAAACTGACTGGTGCAGGAGTAACTGTGGGTCTTTGTTTTACTTTTTTAAAAAAAAAAAAAAAATAAAAGAATCTATGTTAACTGCTGACCTATTCAGGGATCAGAAAACTTTTTCTGTTAAGGAGCAGGATAGTAAATACTTTGCAATTCTGTGGCCACACAGTCTCAGTCCCAACTCTGCTGCTGTTGTATCAAGAAAGCAGACACAAAAAAAGGAAAGCAGGCACAGCCGTTAGGTAAACAAGTGATGTGGTTCAATTTTGCCTGTGGGGTCATTATCTACTGACCTTCATTTTTCTCATATAATTCTCATATTCAGAATAAATCTCAAAATAATATAGAGACAATAGTAAAAGAGCCAGCCATATTGTATGAGACAGCATTTCCCAAACTGATATTAATCTGAGTATTTTTTTAAGTATCCCCTGAAAAAAAATAAATTGAACAACTCACTGCTGTGCAGCCAATTCTGACTCATAACAAGCCTACAGGACAGAAAACTGCTCCATACAGTTCCCAAGGCTGCACATTTCCAGGAGCAGAGTCCCTCTTCTTGCTTTTCCAGAGTAGCTGCAGGGTTCAAACTACCAACCTTTGGGTGAGAAGCTCAACCCTAACCCACTACACCACCAGAGCTTTTGCAGCAAGCCAAATTTGTTGGTAGGTGCTGTTGAGTCAAGTACGACTCATGGGACGAGCCTACTAACAACAGATCTGAACCCTGTCCCATCCTGACAATCTCTGACACTCAAGCCCATTGCTGAAGTCATTGTGTCAATCCATCTGGTTGAGAGTCATCTTCTCCTTCGCCATCTCTCCACCTTCCTAACCGTGATGTCCTTCTTAAAGGAATAACCTCTCCTAAGCAGCATGTCCAAAGTATTTGAGATGAAGCTTCATCATCTTTGCCTCCAAGCAGCACTCTGGGTGCACCTTTTTTTCTAAGATGTATCTCTTTGTTTTTTGGCAGTCCAGGGGAATATTCAGTGTCTTCTTCAACAGCACAATTCAAAGGCATCAATTTCCCTCCGTCATCTTAAGTCATTGTCCAGCTCTCAGATACAAAGCAAGAGCCTGAAAAGACCATGGCCTGAATTAAGTGCACTTTAGTTCTTAGGTACATCTTAGTCCTCAAACATCACTGCTCCTCAATAATTTGCAGAGGTCCCTGACTACAGACTTTCCCAGTAAAGTATATCTTTGGATCTCCTGTTAGTACCAAATGCACTGATTGTGGATCCAGGTAAGATGAAGTTATCAAAAGGTTCAATCTTTTCTCCATCAATCATGATAGTGTGTATTGATCCAGTCTAAGATTTTTGTGTTCTTGACATTGAGATGAAATCCATATTGAAGGTTGCAGTCTTCTATCTTTTGCAGCTAGTGCATCAGGTCCCCTTCACTTTCAGCAAACAAGGTTGTGTCATCTGAACAGTCCTAAGTTAACCACAACTGCATATATACTTAAGTACTGTAGAGGTTCTCAGAATCTTGCATAAGCAAATATACATTAAAAAACTGCCAAGAAACAAATTTTTATAAAAATGCTGTTAGGTGGTAACAATTTTTTTTGTTTTGTTTTGAAAGAGTAGTTACAACTGAAATAAATACAAGAGATGGATTTTGTCTCCCTCATTTCATCCAAATCAAAACTCCCAACTCAGGCTCTAGATTTGTTTCCACATCATGTAGGGCTTTTATTAAATCATGCACTGGAGTGTACAAACACAATGTATGCACATGTTAACTGGCTTAAAAGTATCCCTTTCAAATAATTCCAAGATGATGTGTTTTAATAACGATAACTTTACAACAGTATGCACTGTTGTATAACTGGTTTCTTTAGTTATCTAGTTTAAGCATCTTCACCTCTTTGTTCCTTAAGTTGTCCAATCCAGGTGCACAAAGCAGAAAAACAGAACCTGACAAACCTCTCAGGAATCTTAGAAAATATCTTCTTCTCAGGGAAAAAAA